AAAAAAAAAAAAAAAAAAAAAAAAAAAAAAAAAAAAAAATCAGCGAATAACGAATAACTAATGTGTTACCGTATGTTAATAAATCGTTACAAGTTCATGACTTAAGATTGTAAAATGCAAATAAATACCAGAGTGACGAATGCTTCAGACCCTTTAAAGATAATAATGTGATGAATAGTGAATTTTACAAAAAAATGTAGATCCCTCTTTTCAGGCAATGTTCCTTGTGTGACACTAGTCAAGTATATAATATAGGAAAATAGGTACTGGGGTTTGATTTAACAAATTAAGCTATTAGTAAAATAAGCCAAAATAATTTTTACAGCCGTAACAAAGATTTCAGAATTTTCAGGGATTATATTTATGTCAATCACAAATGCTAATGAATGAACCCCGTAGCAAGTACCACTCTTAGTAGAAATTAACACCACTTATATAATCTGACAGAAAGAGGGCGCTGTCACATTCCTACCACACAAATTTCCCTCACTCATTTCACCACTGCATTGCGCCCTCTGTTGACGAATTATTAAAACTTGCAAAACAAAATTTTAGATAAAAAATGCGACTAGAAATTTTTTCGGCCTAATATTAACAGTCACAATACCATGTTGCATCTAAAAGCAATCTTAGCTTCTTTAAGACCATTCATGAATTCCCAAACTATGTGCAATGAGACAGATAAAATTAAAATACTGTAAAACGTGTCTTTTTCGCAAGCGCGTCTTTTTAGCGAGAGAACTGATTTGCTAATTCAAGATGTCGCTAATGATTTTATTATAAATTCAAAATGGCTGAGGCTCAGGGATTCGTATACAGTAATACGCTATTACGTTATTACGTTATTTTACCACAGTTCGCTAAAATTGCATGTCACTTTTCAAACAGGTTTTACAGTATATTGATCAAGTTTGTCACTGTATACCAGAATCTAGCATCATTTTGTATTTGAGAAAGTACAGGTCATGTGACACAATTATCTTATGACGAGTTTTAATCATAGGATAAGTAGAATGTTTAATGTTCACCTAGAAATGGCCATTAAAATTAAGCTAAACTAGATAATAATTGGGGTTGTTATATCCATAACATTTCCTTCAACCAGGACCTAGAAAGCTAATAAGGTATATACATATATTGCAGTACAATCTTATTACAATCAATTGAAAATAAAAATGCAGTCAATTATTTGTTTTGTAAAAGTTTTTTTTACACGCCTATATGTTCCCAGCAAGATTTATTTATGTACGACAAAGATTGACCTTATTTTAAGTTCTATTGGTGACCCCCTCAATATGAGAATACAATATGTAGAATAGAATTCATCTACAGTATTTTGAATAGTTGATCCCAATTAGTATATATTGTTCAATGTCAAATATGCTTAATTATCGCTGAATTTACAACTGATAAACAGTCTATGATGTACATTTATATTATTTTTCACTAAAACTTTGTTAAATATAGTTTATATTTGTGTTTTCCAATATGAAAATAAATTGCATTATTTTTTGCAATAGGTCATGGGGTAACCAAGTTACAAATGAGTGCAAATCAAGCCGTTATGGATTGGAAATTAGAATCAGAGAAAATATAACTACGGTTCATTCTGAGAAATTGACTAAGCAATATCAACTGCTTTTATGAATAAGCTGTTTCAATATGGACAAATAGCATCATGAAGATGTTAAGAACTTTTTACAAAAAACAAACACTATTTTATAGGCCACCTGTACCAATAATTTGCAAACGACCAACTCAAGAGCAAATGCAGCTTACTATAAAAGTGTACAACGACCGTCATGTCGTAGTGTTCGCAACTAACAAAACAGGGGAGACGCTTATGGTACTATGCCCTTCACCGCCAATCAAGGCTACCAAAAAAAAAAAGGTCACTCCTAAAAGACTGATTTTTAAGCAAAGGGAAATTGAATATTTAATATTGCAAAGCTGATAGATTGGACATATTGACTCATGCAGAATATATAGTTCAGACACAATGATTTTATTTCAAAATTGCCATAGATCTACTAGTCCGGTTTTTATGGTCAGTGGTAAAGTCTGAATTTATGTTTGTTGTCAGTGGTAGTTTTCAAAATGGGGGTCAAGATAATGTACATGAAGAGCTCTGCATGTTTTATTTGATCTATTTGCAATCCCGACATTTAAAGTACTGTAGAATGTTCTATTTTTTGCTTGGAATTAATTGGAGCTATTTTTGCTGAAGAAATAATTTTCTGGGCCCCTGTAACAATAGTTTAAATTAACTTCTCACTCACACACCACAAATTTGGAATTGAATAAAATAAAATTTTCCTGACTTCACTATATTTTTCAAATTTCTACAATACATGCTTTTAAGAAACATGGGTGACAATATTACAATTGGTGTGCAGTTCGGAAAATGTTATTTGATTATTGCACGTGTCACTATCAGTAGCAATAATATTGACTGGAGAAAAAATAGTGTTCACAATGATTCGAAACACTAGTCACTTGTACGTGGCAAGAAAAAATTGCCATATCATTGAAAAAATGAAAAGATGTTTTTATCATGAATGAGCCGTTTTGCTTTGCATAATTCGTGCAACGACGGACAAAATGGTGGCGCCCATTGACCGGAAGTTGCATTCATTAATTAACAATATTTATATAAAGTGTTTTGTTAACATTTTTCACGCTACCTGTCCAAAAGGGACAATAAACGATTCAAGACCTTTTACAAATCATTGTGTAGATTTTAAATCATATTCTTCCTATTTCATTTAACTTGCCATATTTGTATGCATGACAGAAAGAAATCAAGGTAAGAGAAACCAAACTGTTCTGAACGTTACAACTTATACAATACAGCTGGGTGAAATAGTTGACTGATTATCTAAAATATGTAGCACCAAAAAGCATTTCTACTGGCTTAACAGCAGGATTGCTTTGCCAGATAACATTTAAATGTATTGTGTATCTGTGCCACTGAGTGATCACAAATAAAGTTAATCTGGGTGACATGGCAACGGCAAAACTAGGTTTCGACTATGATTGCATCAAAAACCTATCTAACTAAACAATACATAATTTATGGAATGCTTCTATAACAAAACTCCAAAAAGTGACTGACCCCTGTCACAAAGACCCTAGAGAAAATTTCACTTTGTTTATGGAATAAAATCTTCTTACTGTAAAATTATTCTAGCTGAATGTTTTGTATGGAGTTTATTTTTTACTGATTTTTGAATGTAAAATATGGAAAAAGGGGTATATTCGATGGATTTTATTTTCATTGAATCATCCCTTCAGTAAAAATAAAGTATTTTAGTGCATCTAATGTACAATGTTAATTTTAAATGTATATTTACCAGATTTCAACGTAGTCACTCGAACCACATTATCAGAAGCTGGGCCATTACCACCACCACTATAAGCAAGAACTTTGATATTATAAACTGTACTATAATCCAAGTTTTGTATCTCATAGCGAGTAGTCACTCCTGGTGTAGAAACAGTAGAAGCTGTGGCTTCAGAATCATCAGATGACCAGTACTTTAGCTGAAGAATAAAAAAAAAAAAAAGGTTGCACTCAATAGACCGAAAATAGGCTTTTAGGTATACCGTACATCATACATTCTGCTGTCTCACTTGCAATTAAGTCATGCAAAAATTACGTAAATATTCATCCAAATATGTACCTTAACCAATGAATGGCAGGCAAGTGTTTGATTTGAAATGCAACCAAATCCTGAAAAGTTCAATTAGTACTTTTGGTTGTTTGCAGGGGAATGTGACAATGTGTTTATGATGCTTCAAGCTAACGAGTTGACGATGTAATTAGACAGAATATCATGAAGGCATAAGATTCATTATCCAGACTCCAAGCAATAATATCATTAATTGACAGAGATGGTTATCCTAACAGTGTGATTTGGAGAGTTTATATACACGATGTTTTAGGGAGCTGATCAAAATCAACCCAGCGGTTTCTGGTCCAGAGTCTGGTGGAGACTATCATTATTATGTGACTTTGAGAAAGTGGCCGACATGCATGTGAATTTTTGACCTAGATTTAACAGGGACACATAGATCTGTTTTGTCAGCAAAGTAAGTTTATTTCAGTTCTATCCACTATAGTTTATTGGGAAATCATTTTTATTCAAATCAGTGCAGGACATTTTAACGAAAGTCATCAAATATTTTACTTCAACAAAGAAAACACTACACAGCATATATTAAATATGGGGGTTAAACCCCTCAATGTTGATCTATTTGGGTTCAGTTTTAAACTGGCTGCAGAGCACTCCCATGCCAAAAAATAATGCACAGCCATAAATATTGCATTTAAAAAGTCACCTTGTATCCTCTAAGTTTTCCTTTCAAATTATTGGTGCTTATAGAATCCCATGTGACTTTTATGGTGCTACCTGATGTGGCTTCAGCCTCAACATTATCTGGGGCTTCACTTGGAGCTAAAAGATGAAAAAAAACGAAACATAATGTACATGGAAAGTATCAAGGGTAAAGAAATGTCACTGAACTGATCACGTCCAATATATACATTTATGCACATGTTCTAAGGGTTATACACTTCTACCCAACAACACAGAACAAAATGGCATGCATTCATTGGACAGCTTGGCTGCAACCAACACAGCCAAACACACCCGCCACCAACACAGCCAAACACACCGCCACCAACACAGCCAAACACACCGCCACCAACACAGCCAAACACACCGCCACCAACACAGCCAAACACACCGCCACCAACACAGCCAAACACACCGCCACCAACACAGCCAAACACACCGCCACCAACACAGCCAAACACACCGCCACCAACACAGCCAAACACACCGCCACCAACACAGCCAAACACACCGCCACCAACACAGCCAAACACACCGCCACCAACACAGCCAAACACACCGCCACCAACACAGCCAAACACACCGCCACCAACACAGCCAAACACACCGCCACCAACACAGCCAAACACACCGCCACCAACACAGCCAAACACACCGCCACCAACACAGCCAAACACACCGCCACCAACACAGCCAAACACACCGCCACCAACACAGCCAAACACACCACCACCAACACAGCCAAACACACTGCAACCAACACAGCCAAACACACTGCAACGAACAGAGCCAAACAAACCACCACCACCAACACAGCCAAACACACTGCAACCAACCAGCCAGCCAGCCAGCCAAAAAGACCCAAATCAGAGCCAAAAAGACCCAAATCAGAGCCAAACAGACCCAAATCAGAGCCAAACAGACCGCCACCAACATCGCCAAATGCAGGAAAAATATATATGAAAGTACAAGCAGTAGATGGTTATGTAACAAATTACCTGACTCGTGGGAATATATGGTTGATATAGTACTGTTAGGTCCATCTCCTTTAGCATTGAACACACCAACTCTAACATCATACTGAACATATGTAGGAACGCCTTTAACTGTATATACACCAACAGCCTCATCATTAACAACACCTTTGGAATACTCCTCACGGCTATTAGCTTTCTTCCAGTAAACATAGTATCCTAAACCTGGTGCATTCTGGTCTTGACGAGACAAAGGCTATAAAAGTAAAACAAAATATAATACCTGTAATTCTAAGATGCATTTCTATCGCAAGCAAATTCAATACTAATCTTGGTATCTTATACCAATTCTTAAACTGATTATGTTTTTATTGGGGTTTCCTCATTTGTTTTCTCGTCTTTCTCCATATATCTTCCAATCACAAAGCACCTTTAAGAGGATTTCATTTTAGATACTACAAGTAAATTGATTGGTTGCCGGTTTTCCAAAATTTGAACCAATTTTAGATGGGCTGATTAGCGCTTTTATTAGAGCTTTAGTGACTGGGCAATATAAATTTGCCAGCAAAAAGTACAAGTCTTTACAACCATCTTTTACTTGCGTTGAAATTTCATGAATTAAAACACAGTCAAAACTCAATAATTCAATCAGTACAGTTCATTGTCAAATGTCTATTGCTGACTGCCAATTTATTTAGACAAGGTGTTTTATCATATAGTTTGTCTGATGCTGGATCTGCAGAACATATTTTCAAATAGGTTTTACTGCACATGCACCACTAAGAAGGGCATCCACGAAGCAACCTAAAAATTTCATGCTAAAAATCAAAGCACATTACATTAATTTGAAATGGCACAAAATCATTTTTCATAAAAATTGTATAGAATACAAGCAAGCCACAAATTAGCAAAAATGCATGTTTCTTCGTTGCCAGGATTACACAAAATCTAAAAGATCAGAGAAAAATTGCTTTATTGCAGGAATATCATAAAACAAAATGAGAAGTGTCGTTTGCACAGAAAACAAAATTGATGCCTTTCGTAATTTCAAACATAATTTAGTGATTGCAAAAAACAAAACAAAATGGTGGTTGGATTTTTAATTCAAATAAGAGTATAACGCACAATGTATTCTGGGAAATAATGTCAAATTAGGGCACAACTAAAAGTTAACAGAAAGCAAGCAAATACAAGACTTTCCCTTCGACTTGAATTTATTATATTAATAATGGTTGGAAGTAAAAAATGAACGCATGCAAAAAGAACAAAATTCACATTGCTATTTACAGATAAAATTTGAGATCTGATAACTTACATCCCAAGTAATCCTGAGATCTCCAGTTTTACCACCACCGCCACCAACATTACGAGGTTCATGGTAAGGTTCTACAAAGAAAAAAATTAGGTAAAGTAACAGTGAATAGATTTCCTTGAATTAGCAATGAACAACTTGTGTAATTATAAACAAAAATCTAGTAGTGTGTTCACATATGTTTTTTTCTCTGTCATCAGTGCAAGTCATGTTGGCATAAAGAGACAAAAAACAGATGTGAAAAGACAACGTTTTAGATCACAAAATAAATTGCATTGTTATTATTTTTGGATTGATCTGTTTTTTGGTGTTTTTTAACTAGGGTCTTCTTTATCATGATTGTGTAGCCATAGGTCATATTTTTAACCATCCACTACAATATGGTGTCATTTCCTGTGATGTCATAATGCATACATTACTTACTATCTTCATGCGTTGAATATTCTGGGGATGGTAAACTTGGTTCACCTCTACCATAGCTATTGACGGCACTGACTCGAAATTGATAGTTACTCCATGGAGAAAGCGAGTTAAGGCTAGCCGAGAGATCTGGTATGCCTGAAAACAATAAAATACATGTCAATGGGGGTATTTTGATGAGTTACTAGTAACAATGTTTATAAGAGTGAACTGGAAAGTGTGGAATTATTTATGTAGAGCAATGACTTACCTTCCCTTTCTATTATCCATTCTGGTTCCTCTTTTGTACGCGACTGCACTGTGTATGTTTTGATTGGGTCGTTGTTACTAAAACCTTCACTCCATCGTAGCTGACATGAGTTTGTAGTGATATCTGAAGCACGCACACCGGCAGGAGGCCCAGGAGCACCTTTAAACAAGTTAACAATCAAATTTTCAGTTTTCCCACCACAATGTGGATGTGAAACGTGGCAGATTTTTACGTAATGGCAATAATTCTGTTAATTGTTTACAAAATGGACATTTTTCATTGCATACAGTTCTGAAAGAAATTCCTTACAAAAGTATGGATACAAATTAGGTTAATTTTGAGAAAAATTTTCAACAATCACATTATAATTCATCTTTCTTACCCTTGATTATGACTTCAGCAGATTTGGAGACTTCATCTATAGTTGTATGAGCGGTACAGGTATACACACCAGACTGGCGCAGCTCAGCGTCTATTATTTCAAGATTACCATCTCTCAACTGTGAACATTTACAAAATAAAATAATTATCAACTGTGAACATTTACAAAATAAAATAATTATCAACTATTTCTAATTAGTTTTTTTATTATATTATATTATTAATTTATTAAGATTTGTTGAAGAAGCTACTGTAAAGGGCTTTAATTATTAGCTGTATTTTTAGTCTTTGCAGAGAAAAAATTAGCTAAACTAAACCCTAGTGAATACGCAAAGTGAATTTAAACCTAGTGAAAATCCCTGCAACATCAAATACAATAAAATTAAATTTCTTTTGCAATGGTGTAGTGATGTGATACATTTAAAGATTGTGAAAAAGAAGCGTGAATTGTTCTTTTAACCCTCTTCTTGTCAAGCCAACATAAAAGTATGTGGCTAGCAGGATGAGGATTAAAGAAAGAATCTGCTGAAAAAAAGATCTTTATTTATACACACTACCTGATTATTAAAAATACTTTTAATTAATCTGAACTATATGTTTGACAAAATTTTTACAATCTTGAGTTTGTTCTTCACTTGTCAGAGCTGTGTTTGCAACAACCCACTTTAGAATTTCCAAGACACTATAAATGACTGCATCAAAATGATCCAACCAATCATAGAATGCCAATGGTTTGACTTGTATCATAGCAACTAGGCTTGATTACCCACATTCTGTTGATTGCTCCTGAGGTAGATTTGTGAAAACAAAAGCACATCACTCTTTGGATTTTTTAATTCAGTCAACAAAATCTTAGAATATAAAAACTTTGAAATGTTTCCTCCCCAAAACAATACAATATTTTTTTGGAGTTGCACTCTAAAGAGACTCTGGTTTTTGAACCAGAAAACACTTGACTAGACTTTGTTAACTGAATGAGTTTATAAATCTATAGATGAATCTACTCCTGATAGTTGCTCAGGTGACTGCTTCCCAGGATGATCAAGAAAGAACACATATTCAATCATGTTGCCCAGTAATCTGGAGTAATAAGTGTGTACGAGGGGTTGCACAAGCAGCTTATATAAATTGCCATACTGAAAGCTTCCGTGGATAGTAGAAATGAAAACATGGTGTAAACAGGTGATGTGTTACCTTACAGCAAGTCTGAATAAACGTTTTTATGAATGGACATCCAATACTGTACAACGTACTATACCGACTGAGAGTGTAACTTTAAGAGACAATGTACATCGATCACCAAGAGAAAATGTTACTTGCAAGTGAAGTTAGATCATGCCCCAAAAAAAGCTTTCAAAAAGCAAATCTTCAGCCTTACTGGTAGGTTTATACCACACTTTTTAAGGTTAACCAGATGGAGAAGGTGGTTGCTATAGCAATCAATCACAAGGAATTTGTATAAAATTCCCATCATCTTCTGTTACTTTTAGAAAGATGACAAAATGTCAGCACAGTGTACTCTGAGGGAGAGGAATCTACCAGTAAACTGACTAAAAAAAATATTAAAAATAAGGAGTAATCAAAGCAGGTTCACAAACAAAAAATGCATTTTTCGTTCCATAAAACTAACTTGTCTCATATTTAAAAAAAACAAAAAGACAGCAGGTAATTAAACACAGCTATGACATTCTACAAGGACGCAAGATAAAATGTAGAAAAGTAGGACAATGATGAGATGAAAAAAAAACACACCTGTAAGTATGGATTTTGTGGCTGTGAAGACAAAATAGCAAGATGAGTTTTGACTACCCTTTAATACCAAGGTCACCACAGAATAGATAGAAAAACATCAATCTGAGCCACACCTATTTAAGGCTGTAAACATGCAACTTGCTACAATGACAATATAACAACATCCTAGA